TTTTTTTAGATTTTTTTTTTTTTTTTTTTTTTTTTTTGGTACCGGGGATTGTACTTGGGTCCTTGAGCTGGTGAGGCAGGCACCAGAACCACTGAGCTAAATCCCCTTTTTTATTCTTTAATGGTTTGCTTTTTGTATTTTACCAACTAGGAGGTTGCAAAGATATTCATTGTTTTCTTTTGATGCTTCTTATGTAGTTTTAACTTTTAGGTCTTTGGTTCATCTTGAGTTGGGTAAGGGTCATATGGATATCCATCTGTTTTGGTACCTTTAGGTGAAAACTTTCCCTTCTCCATTGAATTACTTTTATTTCTTTAGGACAATGTATTGTGTGAGCATAGCTCTATTTCTGGACTTTTCATGTTGTGTACCAGTGCATATTTTTCATTTTCTTGTATCTCTTTCTTTTCCCTTATTTCCTTTCCCCTACCCTTCCCACTTCCCCTATACTTTTAGCCCTTTTCTTTCTATTTCTCATTGTCAATTATACATATTTTTCTATCCTTAAGCCAACACTACATTGTCTTGACTTCTCTAGCTCTTTGTAGTAAGTCTGAAATTGTGTAGTGTCATTTTTCCTTTTTTTGTGATCTGAGGATTGAACCCAGGAGCTTACACATGCTAGTCAAGTGCAGTACCACTGAGTTACACCCTGTCTTTTTAAAAAATTCCCAACATGGTTTCCATTATCTCAAGTACTTTGCATTCTTTTATAGTCAGCTTGTGCATTTCTACTTTATGTATTCATGCATTTTTGTTTTATTATTGAAATACAATTTACACATCATAAAATTCACTTATTTAAAATATACTGTTGGATTGTGTAACCAAAATACAGTTTTGGGTAGAAATTACCAGAATATAATTTTAGGATATTTTTATCTTCTCTAAAAGAAATCCTGTAGCCTTTTGTAGTTAAGTGCCATTCTTCCTTCTCTCTGTGGTCCTAAGGAATTGTGAGTCACTGTATATCTCTGTACGTTTGCCTAATTGGGACATTTCATACAAATGATATTGTTCAGAGTGTGGCCTTTTGTGCCTGGTTCCTTTCACTTAGTGTAATGTTTTTGGGTATGTGTGTTGTACCGTATATCAGCATTTCATTCCTCCTTATGTCTGCTAATTTTGTTTGTGTGGATTTATCACGTTTTGTTTATCCCTTTATCGGTTGATGGACATTAGGATTGTTTCTACTTTTTTGGATATTATGAATAGTGCTGCCCTGGGTATTTATTCCAAGTGTAGGTTTTTATGTTGGGTATATACCTAAGAATACAGTTGCTGGGGCTGGGGATTTAGCTCAGTGATTCCAGCACCTGCCTTGCAAGTGGCAAGGGCCTGAGTTCGGTCACCGGTAACCCCCCGCCAAAAAAAGTTGCTGGATCATAGTAAGTGTGTGTGTGTGTGTGTGTGTGTGTGTGTGTGTTGTGTATTTTTTTTAAATTAAAGGAACTCCCAAACTTTTCCAAAGTGGGTGCACCATTTTACATCCCCACCAGCAGTGCAATGAGGGTTCCAGTTTTTCCAGTTCTTTCCCAACATTTGTTATTATCTTTTTTTTTTATTATACTCACCCCAGTGGGTTTGCTTTGCATTTCCCTAGTGATTATGATGTTAAGCATCTTTTCATTTGCCTGTTGTATGTTTATCTTTGGAGAAATGTCTCTTCAAATCCTTTGGCTGTTTTCATATTGGGTTGTCTTATTGTTGGATCCTAAGAGTTCTTTATCTATTCTGGGTGATAGTTCCTTATCAGATGCATGATTTACCTCTTTCACTGCTGTTTGTGATGGTGTCCATAGGAATGGAATTACTGTGGGACTCTGGTAACTGGGCTTCAGGTGCCACAGGCCTCCCAGGCAAACCTGGAGGACCTCTAAAAGGTAGGGAACCTTTTAGAGCTTTCAGTGATACAGCCTTTTGCAGCATGCATGCCATAGGTTTGTCACCATTGTCCTAGATCTTTCTCTGGCCTGTGCTGTCTTTGGCAAGGCTCTCCATACAAAACTGTTTCATTGTTAATATTATTATTATTAATTATTAATTTATTTTTGAGACAGGATTGTGCTATGTAGTTCAGGATGTTTTGATCTCATTGTGTAGCCCAGGCTTGCAGTGATTCTCCTGCCTCAGCCTCCTGAGTGCTGGGATTACAGGGTTGCGCCATGCCTGGCTTCTCACTGTTATTATTACCTTCAGTGTGACAATTTTAAATAAGCCAGGTTTTCTTGTCCAGCCACACTTGACTTTAAAATTTCTGTTCTGAAAATTTCTACCGAGGTTTACACTTCTGCTTCTGCTCACTTTTTCTTTCTGTGTTCCCTGCCCTCCTTATACCAGTCCTTTCTTTTGTGCCCTGTTGTCCTTAGCAGGAAATATGTCTTCTGTTTTCTCCTGCATTGGCCCAGCCCACATTGCCATAATCCACACCTGTCTTTGTCACTTGGTGCCTCAGCCACCCTGTCGGCTCTCCCTGGTGGAGAAACTGTTTCTTAGCCCACGTTGTTTTCAGAATATCAAACATTGTCCACATTTCTCTGTTGCATCTTGGTTCCAGCTTCTCTGTGGGCCTGTTGCTATTATTTGTGGTTAAACAAGAAACCCTTCTTCCTTTTTAAGAAAATTCCTATTCTTTGGCTTTCATCCTAATATTCACAGGCATGAACATTCCAACAGATTACACCTCTGGTACCTTCTGTTATTCCATCTACTGTTGGTGACAGTGTGCCAGTGTCCTGTTAGAACACTTCTCATTATCAGTAATTTCTTTTTTCTAGTCCAGTGATTTTAAATCATATCAGATTCAATGCTTTCTGTTTATAGCTAGTATTTTGTAGCATGCCTTTTACTATTGCTAAATAGAGCTTGCAAACAGTATATCATATATATAATTTGTAAGCAAATCAGTATTTGCATAACTATACTATGAAAGAGGAAGTATTTATATTAACTATTATATGTTTCTATACAAAAATGCTCTGAAATTGCTACATCAGAAGGCATAATGAAGCAGCTGCTTGCATCTACTTTTAATGGATGTTTAAATTTAAGAGAAGTAAAAAATATTGCAAGTTATTCTGTCTGAGAAGTAATGAAAACCCAGGCTTACACATCTATGGTAAGAGAATGAAGGTAACTAACCCTAATTAAAGTAGGGCCAATAAGTCAACCAACTATTTCATGTAGGGAAAATGAAAAAGTAGGATGTATTGCACACGTGCTGAGTGTCATTTATAAATTGTGGAATCAGAACACTTTCCCATCTTGTAACAGGAGGGGTAGTAATGGAATGTCACAGAAAATGGATCTCTTGTTTCGAAATCCTGTGTCTTTTTGATACCTACATTCTGTCTCTAATTCATTACAAAACTATGGTGATCATAAGTTGAATTAAGTACATGCTTATAAAATCATCAAAAGGCCTAGGGCAGTGATGGTGAATCTTTTAGAGCTTTTAGTGACAGAAACAGCCTGCTGAGGAGGCACTGCCATCACTAGCCTAGGATAGTGAAAGTCAGGGCTAATTGTTTCTGACTTTGAAGAAATAAAAAAGTCCTGGACTCACAGGATACTACTTTGAGTGATCTGAGTTGTTGGCAGTGTTCAGATGAATGTTTCTTTTTTTTTTTCTTTTTGGTATGGGGAATCGAACTTGGGACCTTGTACTTTTTCTTTTTTTTGTTTTTGTTTTTTTTTTTTTGAGACAGGGTCTCACTATGTAGTTGAGACTGACTTGGAACTCACTATGTAGCCCAGGCTGGTCTCAAACTCACAGCGATCCTCCTGCCTCAGCCTCCCAAGTGCTGGGATTACAGGCATGCACCACCACGCCTGG